GGTGCCATGAGCAGCAAGGGCAGATCCTTCAAGGTTGGATGTAGGAGGGGATTGGCCGAGCATAACCTTCTTGCGGCTTTCTTCTCGCTTGACTTTAGAGAATGTTTCACGGAGGTTGGGAAGAGGCTTGATTCCCATGACGCGTCTTCTGACTTCATCCAGGTTCTTGTTCAGACCGAGGAGGAACTTGAATGTCCGTTTTTGTTCCAGAATTTTCTTGAATAAAGCTACATCATTTGAACACGTCTAAGGGTAGACCTCGAACATGTCCAGTTGTTGCCAATAACGATTGAGAGTATTGAAGTATTGAGTAACAGTGAGTTCACCTGGTGAAGGTCATGGAGTTTGGATTCGACCTCAAATAATTCTGAAGTATTCTCTGAACTGGAATATGTTTTTTTGACAGCATTCCAAATCTCCTTAGCCGTGCCATAGATGAGGAAGTTTTCTCCAATCTCATTAGTCATGAAATTGATTAACCATGATATAATCATGTGATTTTCGATCTTCCAGGTTTTGTATTTAGGGTCATCTTTTTCTGGGATTTGGGTTTCAGAAAGAAGGTAATCTTCCTTCCTTTTGCCGCCAATGAACATTAAGATTGACCACTGGAGGTAATTTTGGCCATTAAGTTTGTGGCTAGTGATGGGGTGAATAGTTATTCTGGAGAGTGGTTGTGACTGTCGGTTGAGACAGTTTCGGACTGGGATGAGATTTCTGAAGATGCGGCTATGAGGATAGGTTTGAGGGTGGCGGCTGATTAGGGTTTCAGATAGCTCTGAAGATTTGTGGAATAATGAATATGTTTATTCCTTGAAAATTATTAGGTTACAAGAGAAGGATATATATACATAATTCAACTCCTTAAAGTTAGGACTAAATAAAGCAACAAAATAACAACTACCTAATTCAGGAAACTAGAATCCCTGAAAATAAGGAATCATCAACTATACATAAATATATGCGCCTAATTAGGCTCTAACCGATCCTTATAATTCTACATGGTTAATATCTTTGTTTGGTAGTGATAACTATAGCCATCAATAGATAACTTTTTGGTTTTCAGTAAAGGCATTTTATGCTGTATCAAGCCAAACACTATCGGAACTTAGTTTTAGCTGATACACACATGTACATATGCATAAATTTACAACTATATATTCACATTTTGCTTCTGGCTAGATTATGCGCTTCCATTAAATATAGAAAAGTAGATTTAACTCCTCATCGTCCACTTGGTCACTAAGGCTGCACTGTTACTTTTTTCTTTGTATATTACTCACTATAGATACCCCGTATATTTAGTGGGAAGTTTGTGTCCCTGGTGATATTGATATGTACGGTATTGTACGTGAAGTTTAACACCAAATATAGTAGGTAAAACCTTTCTGAGCATATTACAACAATTGTAATTATATAATAGAAGTGGAAAGAGTTGAGAATTTAATAACAGGGGACAATCAGTAGCAGCTGTTTTCAAGGCAAAAGAAAGTTGCAGAGAGTTGTGAAATCTACTTTATTATTCAAATGAAGTATGTAGTCAAAGCCCATATGCAGAACTAAAAAGGTGTTAGATGGCTCATAAGTGCAAAACCCGAAGAAAGAGGGAAAATATAGAAAGTAGGAAAGTTGCAAGAAATTCAGAAAATTGGGAAAGGTTAACTGAAAATTGGAATACTTCAGTACAAACAATCTAATGAATACCATTACTTAAGTATTAGGATTGTAATCTCTAAGTGCACTAGAAACAAGAAGTCTCAACATGAATTTGTAAGTACACTGCGTTGATAAGTTATAAACAAACAACTAATAATTAGCACTGAGTTTGCTTCTAGGTGAAATAATATTCCATGTAGATCCAGAGTCTTGCATGAGCACAACTCAAACATGGAATATTAAATTCTCATTGCCATCCATTCCTATGTGTTCTAGGAACTTGATTCCCTTTACAATAGGTTGATTGACAGGTTTGCAGCGTGATGGGGAGTGACGTGATGGCTTCGATCTGGAGGCGAGCTGATGGCCCGCTTCCATTATTCGCGCCGCGATTGCCCCGCTTTTTACCGCTATTTACAACACTGATTGTCTTGCATCAAATCTACCATTGTTAGAGAAAACTCGACCTCGAGTTTTATAATGGGAGAGTGTAATGTTTGACTTAACTGGTGAGAAGAATTCTGTTGTAGACTGCAAAATCTTCAAGATGAGCTGTAAAACCCGATGTTGAGTGGGTAGTGGAGGGTCTGGAATAACGAACTCAATAACTAGATTATTTTAAAATTTGCACCGCATATCAATCTTAAGTTTGGATTCTAGGCTTGACTTGAGCTTTGGGTTTGATTCAAGCTCGAGCGTTAGATCGTCCTATTGCTTTGTTTTTGGTTCGGGCTCTGGATCTATCTTTTGATTTGCTTCTTCCGGCTGTAGTTTAGGCTCACACTCTGGATTGATCTTTTGATCTACATCTGATTCTGGCTCACGCTCAGACTTGAGCTTTGGTTCTTGATTAAATTTTTAATCTTCCTTTGCTTTCTCATTTGACTCAAGTTAAAGCTTCGGATCTGGATTGAAATTAAATTTTGATTGAAGATCCAAATCTGGCTGGGGTTGAGGAATTTGTGTTGGTTTTGCTTCAGAATGTGAGGAGAAATAAAATCTTCTAGATGGTGGACTAGAGTACCTCCTTTCCAAAAGAGCTTTTATACTTATCCGCGAACGGATGTTTGAATGATAATAATTTCTTTACCACCAATATTTTGCCTCTCTTTAGCCTAGACTCAGCATATAAATACATTTTTAGTTTTGACATATCATAGATAGAAAATATATCTTCTATATTGAATATTTAGATATCAAATTCATAAGGCTCCTCATATCCATCAAATCCATAAAAATAGGATAGGGTTCCAAATTAAAGTAGATTAAAGTTATACCCTTGTGAAGGAGGTAGTAGTATTTTACCCCTGATAATTGTGGATCATTCAACTCTAATACCAAATGATGGGGAGCGACGTGAGTGCTTCGATTTGGAGGCGAGAAATCGTCGATGACTTGGTAGAATGTGGTTAAAATCCATGGTGAAGAAGACTACCACAATATGTGTATAATATTCACTGTTGAACAATAGCTTTTTTTTGTGTGTGTGGAGGTGTTTTGATGGGTTGGATGGCCAGGCTTCTTTTGGAGGGAAAATAAGTGGTGGATGATTAAGAAGGATAATTGAAGGAGAATTTTAATAGGTTACGTACTAGGCATCACATATTGGGGTCTCACACCCAAAGGCTTCAGTTCACACTCCTACTTCACATGCCAATAAGCAATTTACATCAAACTCAATTTTTTTATTCATCAATTTCTATTTCTCATGGAGGATTACATCTCTTATTTATAGGAAAAGAAAGCAAGCAAACACTTACGAAAGTAAATAAAAATCCTAATCAAATCAAAACCTAGCGAAACTAAAAGATGCAATGAAATAAAATCCTAGCTAAAATAGAAAGAGATTTCAAAATCAAATCCTAAATAAATCCTAACTAAACAAAGATTACATGGAATCAAATCAAATATTACTAAAATTAAAATTATTCTAATAGATCTTAAAATCTTTTGATTGACGATTCATGATTGTCCTGCATCACAACGTATGTGAATGTAGATAAGATTTTGGTTCCTAATATGTCCTTTTCTTTCACCACTTTTTCCATTGTTGTTGCTATCCACAGCCACAATCATCTCCAGCATTGCTGCCCACTCCACTCGCACTATTGCGGTTATAGCCATCACTGCCATCGTAATTGCTACCCCTTATAACTGCGATCGCCATCATTGCTTCCACACTGGGACTATTGTTATTGTCACCACCACATGCCACGATCAATGTCTGTACAACTCCTAGCAGTTTTTTTTACTACGTATCTCTAATTCTATTGCCCGATCCACCTTGTACCAAACATTCTCATTGTAACCACTAGCCACTGCCACATCTACTGTTGTCCACCATCACCACTATTATTGTCATTGGCTCTCCAGTATTTCTGTCATCATTCTAATATCATCTTTATCATCATATCTGGTATTCCTGACAGTTGCTGCCTTTACCACCTTTGCCAGTAATACATTGATGCCCTTCTCTTCCTGTTCATTGTGGCACCCAAGCTGCACAAGAGTTTGTTTGGGAACACTATTTTTAGGAGTGTTGCATCGATAAGAGAAAATTACATTTATGGGAATATTCAAGCACGCAAAACAGTGTAATCCAGTGTTCATAAAATCTGATTTCTTAGAAACAAATCAGAAATATGAGACCTATGGAAATACTGCAGTTTGTGTACCAAACACAATCTAAAAGATACGAGATCACTAAGCACTACTATAAAATGGGGAGATTTGGTAAAAAAAGTTGCATGATTTAGCAAAAAACTTGCATGATTTGGAATGGCTGAGAATTAACTACTTCACCTATGTACATGTCTTCTTATCTTTTCTACACCAGATGACTACTCCCTTACCTATCATGCATGTTAATTCTGTGAGTTATGGACTGTAACATAATCTAAGGGTGTGTTTGGCAAAGTGAACAAAACTGGGCCAGGTTCAGTCTTGACCCAGTTTTGTACTAAACCAGTTTTCTTTTGGACCAGACTCCCCCGGTCCAAAAGAAAACTGATTTAATGGCACTATTTAGGTTAAAAAAATTGGGTCAGCCCTGGCCTGAAATTTTGACAAACAAGAAACAAATTAAAATTGGGCCAGGTTCAGTACTGGCCCAATTTTAACTTGTTGCCAAACACACCCTATTGTTACTCACTTGTTTACTCCAACATTGCAGATGCATTTGTCTGCAAGGTTATCATAAATATTTTTTTTCCAGTGTTGCATTGCTATCTAGTGTCAATTATTGTTACAGTTCTGTTTTTCTTTGTTGAGGGTTTTGTATAGTACATTATTAATTTGTTATGTACAAAAATTACTTTATGCTATCCCATTTTTATGCATACAACTACTTTGACTTGAAAATGAGCGCACAAACTTTAATTACAAGTTTAATTTGTTTGCAGGAAGTTGATCGCTTTGATGATTTAGCCGATCTTCTTCGCGAAGATGGTTATGTTGGTGTTTATAAGGTTTATTTTTTATACTAAACCCTTGAGCTACTTTTAAAGTCAGAACTTCATTCTAATATGTTGGTGTTCTAGGGCCGGACTGGGGAAGCAAGGGATGGGGGTGCTGTATTTTGGAAGGAAAAAGAGTAAGCGCTACTATTTCTGTTCCCATGGTTATAAAAGAAATGTGACAAAGGGTGAAAAAAGAAATCTATTTACAAGCTACTTGAATAGGCAAGTCCAGCCAATATGAATATTTTTTAGATTCATTTTAGATGTCTAGTTTCAATTATGTCTTATTGTTGAGAAATTATTAGAGAATCAGAAATCAATAACAAACTGAAACAGTGCAGAAAAATTGAAAGTGGTAATAAAAGATTTCTAGAGAGTAGAGATGGTATAAAAGTGGAGAAAGAAAGAGATAGAAGAGATAATAAACATGACACAGATGAATAGTAGGGATTGCATACTCTGGCTTCTTATTTATATCTTTGAACTGTCTATTATCATATACTGGACACAAATGCTGTCCAGTTAGGCTCTTACCAATAGAAAACTATCATAGGATAATAATCATTAGATTAGTTTTCAATAGATCATTCCCTTACAATAAAAACTTGTTGATCGGATCAAATCATTGTTTGTTCTGCAGACCACTTTCCTGTAGACATGGTAGGTTTGCTTGTAAGTTATAATCGATACACATTGTTGGACTGTAACCTGTCAACCCTGTATATTGATATAGTTGTTTGACACAATATTAGATCTTCAGATGCACGAACGTCCGGTCTACCGTTCAATTTTTTTTATCTCTGCATTCTCATTGCATATGTCATCACACTGCTAGGCTCTCTAGATGAGAAAGGTGTCAATATTTATTTTAGATGCCTGTAACTCTTGGATAAAGTGCTTATCCTATGATGATGATAGTTTCTCAAAGCTAATGGTGTATATAAAATTTATATGAGGTGGTAACATAACTAGTTTTGCTACAAAACACTTGGCTTCTTGACAGAGACCGTTAGCCAGATGGATAACGTTCCCGCAACATACCCAACTTGACAGTGTCACTGGAATTTTACTATCTGTCTTTATTTCTGAGAAATGACGGTGTTTCATAGTAAATAGTTGGAACAATCCCATGACTAATTGACTTTGCTAACTGCGGGAAGGTTTTTGGGCGATCTTTTTGTTAGATTATAAAAATATAACCCTCAACCTAGGTTCTATGAATTAAAAGCGGATTTTCTAAAAAACTGGCATTGTTGTGTGAGTAGGCTTTGGCTAATAAGAAAAGGGTCGCACAACGGGCATGTTAGAAACCTAGAATATTGAAATATAGCCCTTAACTCTCACTGTAACTTTGGTGTTTTGGTGCAGTGGCAGGGACTTATAAGACTTTTATATCATTGAACATGAGCTTTGGAAAATGCATTAAACATTGTGAATTGACAGTCTTGATTTTGGAGATAGTTTCCTCTTGTGATCTAAAAAGCCCAAGATGACCCAGAAATATATTTTATGCTATTAATAATGACTGACTGGTCAGAATTGGTAGAAGAGGTTTAGGATATGCCAGAAGAATGCACTTATCAAGTAATACCTAAAAATATATTTTTAACTGATGACTGTAACCGCCATTAGACTGAAAGCCATGCTGAATAATTAGACTGCAAACATCTATAATACACAAAAATATAGGTATAAGATAAATTCTCATTTTTAAATAGTAAAAAATGGCTTTTTCCACTCTATCTATCCTATTCATTGGTACTTATGATTGGTAATGGAAAAAATTGTTTCGTTTGTTCCAACTCATGATCTAAACGAGTCGCATAGGTTGAAAGCCATAATACTAATACCTAAAGCAGTGAACTAGATACCTACTACAGGCCAAGCAGCCAAGAAGAGAAGAAGTGTAAGGAACGATATGTTTAGTAGGCTCATTATTCCTTAGAAATTGAATGGCTAATTCTGCCAACTCCAGTCTAAAGCACAGAGCGTGTGCATGAATGATATACCTAGAGTAGCTTGTTTAATAATGTACATTCAGATATAGTGGATAAGAATGTTGGTTATGGTTCATCTTCATTTTTGCTAATTCTCATAGATTTTTTAATATATTAGTACTTAACTAGTTTTTTTTTCTGAAATCAGATTTTCTCTTTTACATCAAGAAAACATAGAATATCAAAGTTTTGGACTTCGAGACAATGTCGCGCAACTTTGTGTTCTTAAGGTACACTATATCCTTGATTCTTAGATGATTTTTATTGTTGCTAGATTATAAGTATGTTTGGGCTAAGCTCTCATTTGAAGCAACTAGCGTATCACTATTCTAATATGAAACTTGAGGAATACTGTTGGGTTTCTAAGTAAAATCCTTCAAACATATACGACAATGGTGCAGCTTTGGGTATTTCCCATTTTCCTAGTTGTGGTCATGTGATTATTTTCAACCCAGTGTTGTGGCTTTGTTTATGTCATTATGGCATATTAGTCTCTCTTTGATAGGAAACAAAGCCAATGCTGTTCGCTTCTTCAGTAATAACTTCATTGGGTCCTCAATGTTGTAAAATGCCAGTTTCAAACTGATAGTTTTCCCCCAGCCTGGGTTTATAAATGGCTTCTACAATGAATTAAACGATGTAATTTTGTCACTCAGATTTTTCGTGTTTGTTTCTCTCATATATTATTAGAAAAACTAAACTCTTAGCCTGCTAGGGTCCACGTATATAATGCTATGACATCCACCAATATTGCCTTCTCCTTGTGGACCAATGACACTGAAGGTAATTACATATGAGGAAACATTATTTTATTACAGGTTACTTGGTTATAAGGTTTTAAAATGGTACAAAAATATTCTTTCACTGGAGCATTAGTAATTTTATGTTTCAAATGTATTTTCATCCATATAAGTAGTAGTATGTGTCTATCTGACTTCAGAGGAACTGTTTTGTCTTTTATTAAAGAACAGGACTATAAGTTTAGGGCCTTAGGCTCACGAAGAGGGTCTAAATTGGCTAAAACTTAACAAACCTATCTCATGATCACCTTCATTTGTCAAAAAAGTTAGTTGTACAAGTCATGAAAACTTGTGTTAGTCAATGCATAAAAACTCCAGAGCTTTAACAAGCCTTGTCATCAATTTAGGCTGGAGTTAATTCTCCTTTTGGGACTGGCGCGTATCCTGGGACAAGTTCTTGTCTTTTTCCAGCTTTCATATATTTTCATGTGTCTTCCATTTCTGTCTTAGCTGAGGGAGGAAGGTCATGTTGATGTATAATCTTTTAAAGAGTAGAATAATTTTTGTTTCCTTTGACATGCTTTAAAATTTCCATGGTTCTATTATGACTTTGCCTGTTGTTGCACTTATGGATTGCAGATTTAGGCAAACAGTACCATCAATTTAATATTCAAATGCCATCACATAAGTTTAGATCCCCACTATTTATTTTCTAAGTGTTTGAAAATTTCAACTGCACAATTTAGACCACTTATTTGGTTAGTTTGCTGATCTTTTGGTGTAGCATGTATCTCAAAGTAAACACCTATAACTTGACCCCAAAATAATTTAACTCTTTCAAGGACATTCGGATTTTCATTTCGTTACATTAAAACATATTCCTTTATTGGTACAGACTCTTGATGATAAATATGTACGAAAGGTTCTTATCGTAAACTATATAATGCCAGTCGGTGGTGTGCAAAATCTTATATAATATGTATGAGAAAGGTGCTTATCGTAAAATATATAAGGCCGGTTGGTGGTGTGAAAAATCTACATATCAGATGCACTGTTTGAGCTCATCTAACCACCAAAAAAAAAGCTGGCCAGTCCGTGGTGTTCAAAATCTACATATCAGATGCACTGTGTGAGATCATCAAACCACCAGAAAAAAAGGCTCTGAAATTTATATATGAAGTAGTGAAAAGGTCTAGAAAGTAGATACTTAAATAATTAATTTGATAAATATTAGCAATAAAGCCAATTTTATCTCTTTAACGCTAACATAAACCAAAGAGCCAAATTGAGTCATGTCCTTGCATATTAGTTGCTAATCAGGGTTTTTTCGAAAAAAAATTCTTAACAATATCAAGCTCTTAGTCCTGTCATATACTGTCCTAGTTTCCTTTTATGGTATGGGCATCTTTTACATGTTTGTCTGTTGACTGTTTACCGATGCCTTAACGCCACAATTGTCCTGATGACATCTCTTTCAGACCTGGAGATCATGTTACAGAAACATAAGGTTAGCTAAGATCCCATTCTTTTTCTCTTGCTATTATATTGGTAACTGACTTTGAAGGGTTAGGTATTTTCTGAAAAACTGTGTTGTGGATTTGTAGTCTGGTATTTTACTCATTAAGGTAGTTGATTTTGATTGTTTAATGTCTTTATACTGTTATAAGATGACAAAGGGATCCTGTTGATTTTTCTTCATATCATCTTTAACTGATGGCGACGATGAAGTCATAAAGTCAGTTCGTTCATATTCTCTAAAGCTGGATCTTAAGATCTTAAGTTCATACTTATTGTTTTGTGTAGGTCTGTCACAATCAATCAAATATTTCAACATGCGAAGATGCGGATTCATCAGAGTGAGTTTTACCTTGAAATCATTGTAATATATTTGAAGTTACATTTCAGTACAACATCTTTTTGGTTATGTATGCTAATATTGTAGATGCATTCCCTAATTACATGCACATATACATGCATTCAAACATAAACACGAACATATGTATGTGTATGTTGTTGGCACAATTATATTTTGTACATACAAAACTTTCCTCATGAATGATATAAATTCTTGTATCTATTTGACTTCTTTAGGCCGATGCCCAGCCAGACTGTGGTTGTTGGGAACATCCATGTGTTGTTCAATCCGAAACGTGGAGATATTAAGTTGGGACAGGTATAATACTTTTGTTCTCTCCTTTAAATGATCAAGGTTATTAAAATTCTTTACCTGTGTGTTAGTTCTGCCTCTTCACTACTATATGGACGTTAAGATTGAATTTGAGTATCTGTGTCGTGTGCATATTATATATATATATATATATATTATATATATATATATATATATATATATATATATATATATATATATTAATATATATATATACTATATATAATAAGAGAGAGAGAGAGGAGAGAGAGAGAGAGAGAGAGAGAGAGAGAGAGAGAGAGAGAGAGAGAGAGAGAGAGAGAGAGAGAGAGACATGTCCGTTGGTAGCCACGTTGGTAGCACCCTAACTCATCTTGTGCTACGGTATCATGCTCTTCTTCATGAAGTTTGTTTCCCTTTAACTATGCAGATGTTTTGACAGTCGTGAAATTATACTTAATTTCATTATATAACATGGCATGTCCTTTATTCGTTTATAGTTTCTTTTTCTGATATGATATTTAAGATAAAAGGGTGCTCATGATCAACATTAGTGTTTATTCCTTGAAAAGGAAATTGCCGACAAGAGAAGGTGGTTTTGTGTGAAAACTAGTAGTCTAGTTTACAGAAAGAAGACCTGATCTAGTGATTTTAAGGTTAAAATGTCGATCAAAAATACATTTCATAAGTCTTACTTGATATCTTGATTTCTCCGTTTTAAAACTCTGCTTGTTCTATTTGGTCTTGGCTACATAATGGCCAGACAACTAGCTGGGTATCTGTTCTTAATTTGGACAAATCAAGTTAGAAACTGATAAAACCCAGACCTAAAGCCACTGATTTGTCCTTAATCAAAAACATAATACTAAACAGTAATGCAGGTAGAAGAGCTAGAGACTTATTAAAGACAGAGGGATTGTAGACAGTGAGTTAGGGGCATATATCTGTTTGAGATTGCACTTTTTAAGTCGTATCTATTCCAGTCTCTCCCCTCCCTCTCTACCTGGCACTCTCGTGCGTCTGTGACTATGGAAAAATAAACTCTAAATCACAGTATATTTCTGCTTATGAGCATCTGTATTCTTAAATTGTGTTGACAATATTCAAAGGCAACTTGATATTTACCTATAGATCGTATGGTTAAAATTGGCTGACGACAACAAGGATTGGTGTTGGGAATTTATTCAATTTCATGTAGATCAAACTCAAGACAGCCGCATGGTTTTTTTCTTTCAAAATAGTAGACCTTTATTAGTGTTCTAAAAGGCAGTGTCCAGATGGCTGCCTATGCAGAGGTTGCGTGTAGGCTTCCTAGAGATCATGTAGGTGTTCCCACCCGGGCTCTGGGGCTGCCTAGGCGCCTGTTTTGCTTTGTGTGGCCCGCTTGGGCCTGCTTAACGTGACCCACCAATAAACTTAAAATAACCCTTAAAAGCCCTTTTCAAATCACCTGGGCCACACACCAAATTAGAAAAACCCTTAAAATATGTTTTTAACCTGTCCTAATAAACCCAAGCTCTACCAACCCTTAATATGTGTTTTGAAATTAGTCCCTTCAGCTAGAGGTTGGTTGAAATTTAGAGTATATTCTGTCATCTTTACATTTTTGGGTGCAACACCAGTTATACCCCTATGCATCGTGTTGTTTATGGTTGATAAAGTTGATTTTAGGACTTTTTCCCTTTCTTATATATTGAAGCGAGAAATGAGAGAGAGAAGGAAATTGAAGATGGCGGGGGGATTTATTTTATGAGGATAATTTGGTAATTACCCATCCCTGGTAAACCATTAACCCTACTGTGATTAACAATTTAGATGGTAAATGCAACAGAGGGACTAATTTCAAAACACTTGAAAGATTTGAAGACAAATTTCGAAATATGAAAGATTTGGGGGAATAATATTGAAAAAATCCAAAATTTATATACTTCATTGAGACACTTCTGGTTAGACTTGCACATGTTTTCTTGAATACATTGAAAAAGCTATTTTTTGGGGCGTGCTTAGTTTGGTGCATTTGTTATATCTACTGTACATGACAAATCCTCTTGGCCTATTGAATAATGGTATAAATGGGCTACGCAAATGATGCTGCTGTATGGTTTTGTGTTCCTGCACGTATGTTTTATTTTATTTTATTTATTTATTTATTTATTTTATTTTTTTTGGGGGGGGGGAGTGGGGAAACCCAAACCCCTGAAATCAGGTAAGTCCGGAAATCTGGTTGTTGAGGGTATGAATACCAGATCTTTATCAAGTGGTAATCAAATTTGAGCTTATACCACAAGTCTATGGTCAAAGTTCAAATAAAGTTAACCAATTTCCTACATTTGTTTTTGCAAAACCTTTATTTATTTTTTTCATTTCATTTCTTTTTTTAATCATGTAGTGAAAAGATATTTTGTAGAACCTCTTTAGGGGCTCTTCGGGTGTTGGATTTGAATTTTGGATTTACGAGAATCTCATAAATCCAAGAGATCCACCACTACCTGAAGTTTTTCATTTTATGTTTGTAGGATATTGGAATGAAAAGCTTGTTTTAAAAAAGAATTCAAGAGTGTTTGTTTGTTGAGAAAGTGATAAAATAGAAAAGTGGTTTATGGATCCCACATTTTTAATTTAAAATAAGATACATTATTATTTAGTAATTGTACAAATGATTAATTTTGATTTTAAATATCATATACTAGTATTGGATTCCACAAATAAAAAAAAATTATTTTAGATTTTTAATAATTTTTGAAATAAAATGGGCCCCACAAGTAACAAATGTTAGCAATATCCTCTCTTTTGTGAATGACTTACAACACAAGCTTTTGATGGGAATCTTCCGAGCGGGCATTCTTTTCCATTTTGCTCAAGTTGGTGGAAACAAACAAAAGTTTTTTGGTAAAAAGTTCTGGTGGGCCCCACTTTTTCCAAAGAATCATTACCGAATCAGGGGAACCAAACACCCTTGATGGGACACCCATCATATGCGAAAGTGCATTAATGAAATTAAAATCACTGAAAATCATTTAGTTGTTATCAATATTTTCAATATTCTTCATTGATTCCATAATAGCAAAAAATGTGTAAAGTGGAAAGATTAGGAGACGGTGGAGGAAGATTAACGATAAATTTTTTTCAGTTCTTAAATAGCGCTTTAAGATAACAAAAGCAGCAAAATTTTAAAAAATGTTGGAAGATCACGCACATCATCAGTTCGGATTAATGTCAGTTTTCTCTTGTATTTTTTCCTTCTTTAATATCATATATATGCTACAGAAATAACATTTCTAGTTATTTAGATATTTGATAGTGAAAGCAATATTTTCTCAAATAGTTCTTGTTGTCTCTTAAAATCAACTTTAACTTATCTCCCTTCTCTTGATCTTACAGATCCGACTACTACTTGAGAGAATGCATGCGGTGTCCCTGCAATGGGGCAATGCCCCTGTTGTAATTTGTGGTGATTTTAATAGTGTGCCGCAGGTCATACTCTTTTATGTTTCTGTCTTCTGAATTGCCATATACTAGAAAACATTTTGACCTTTTCCTGATGAGATAAGTCTATTGGTATTTTTGTTGGCTCAGAGTGCATTGTATCAATATTTGTCTGCACCTGAGGTAAGTTGATTCAGTGGCTACATTCAATATCATCTTATTATTAATCTTCATAAAAGTGTTGAGTTTTTTTTAACCTGACATCCAAATTCTGCAGCTCGACATATTGTTGTATGATCGCAGGAAAATCTCAGGTCAGGATGAATTTCCACTGCAAAAAAGACACTTTTCTGTGGGGAGGAATGCCTCAAGGTAATTTTTTGCTATGAATCTTTCTTAACAAGTATCGATGAGGCATTAACTTTTATATTGAAGTTGAAATTTGTGTTTTCACTGGTTGCAGGTCTCGGTTTTGCATGCAAAAACTTCTACAATTCAAATGGAGTGAAGAAGAAATACACCTTGCAGTAGGAAATGGAGGCTGTACTCATCTTAAGAACCCTTTGAAGCTTTTCAGCGCATATCGAGGAGTTCCGGTAATTTGTCTTTTGTTGGTTTTCTATTTGTTTGTTTATACTACTATGTTAGTGAACTCTCTTTTCACTTGATGTACTTCTCGTTATGTACTTGTGTTGGGTTGTTATCCATACTTAGGAAATTTCAAACAATCGTTGCGATCCGGAGTTTCTAATGTGTGGCAATCATTACTGAGAAACTCAGTGCCTGTCTCTTTGGCGAAACTTATTGTTACCTACTATTTTATGTTGAAAATGAAAGAAAACAGCAATTTTGCATACAGATCTCGCAGGCCATTACCATACTCTTCAACCTTGTCCCAAACTGTCATCAGCTTATGACTTCTTTGTTAATAATAATTTCAAAAGATTTGTCTCATAGTTAATTCTAGTACTAGCTATCGACCTAGTATCTATCAGTTTGGGACTGACATTCGTAGTTGCATTTCCCAAACTAAAACATATAAGAACCAAGGAGCTCGATAATCTCTAGGCAAAAGTTCAAACTATAGAATTGTTTGTTCGCCTCTATTTGTAGATAGATGACAGATCCCTGAATAGTTGAGCAAATTAGTTTTATGAGTTAATATCATTGATAGAGTGCAAAAGAATTCAAAAAAAAAAAAAAAAATCTTGCTGGGTATATTCCCAGATTATTATTCTCCATTAGATTTGCCAAAAGACCCGGTCACTACACGAAAACTCCGAACTTGTAGTAAATGTTGAGGATTATGCCTTGTATCCTAACATGCCCACACAGGTTGAACACCCGTTTCATGGTCCAAAATCTAGACTCAAGCAATGATATCTATTTTTTAATATTCACTTTAAATATGTGGCCAATAGGAATTGAACTTGGGTTGCCTGATACCATGTAGCAGAATCTTGAAGCAAACAAAGAATTCTACAAAGTCTTGTCGAACAATGGGCTCTGGTACCAGGTTAAAAGACCTACGACTACATCAAAATTGTAAAGTTGTAATGAGAGTTGAGGGTTACAGTTCTATACTCTAACAAGATTAGACAAATGCTCACCGATATGTAGTAGTAATTTGAGATGCAAGTTAAGCATTTAGCATTTTCTAGCCGGTCCAAACTAGTTGGTGCAAATGATCAAATCACAGTCGCCAAGTTAGAAGTTCTGGAGTTGTTTTAAATGCTAAGGATATCCTGTTCTTGCAAATGATCGAGCCTAGGTTGCCAGTATCGAAGCTTTTTTTAGTAATTTAAATGCTACTAAAGGGACACACGGTAAGCTATTGTTTCCAATGCCTTGCCTGTAGAAAAAAAAAATAATCAAGGATGATGTTAGTTGAAAAAGAGGAAGTTGAACGTGGACTAATAGATCCTAGAGATAGGGATGAAGATCTCTATCACTAATCTATCTTCAAAGTTCAAGATGCCATGTTGCCTCACCAATTGAAAATCATTGAAATCTGTCATCAGATATGTCTGATGTTGTGGAAGAGTTGCAGAAGAATTCATCTCCATAGATCTTCTTATCAATAAAGATATTCTTCCAGGTATTTTGGGAAGGTCTTTGTGTGTGTGTGTGTGTGCACGCACGCTTGTGGGGGTTGGGGGGCGGGTCGTGATGGTTGGTTTCATGCCAGTTGAGCCCTCAACTCATCGATCTCAACTTAGGTCTTATCGTAAAATTTAGGAGCCTACCTTCTCACACCGCTGTTACTCTTTAGGAAGCATCCGCCCCAGTAGAAATGCCCCAGGTAGACTACCACCTGCCCCCCCCCCCCCCCCCCCCCCCCCCCCCCCCCCCCCCCCCCCCCCGCCCCTCAAAAAAGAAAAAAAGAAAAAAAATGATCGGTGCAGCAGTTATGCATCCTTAGATCTCAGGCCTGTCAACCCATGAGGCAGCCTGTCTTCGACGAGGTTGCTTCAAGTCAGATAGCAAAGATAGCCTCTGCTGTGAATATACTTGAACGCCAAATGTTGATGCTATAAGCTTTAAGCAATGTTTGTTTACTTATACGTATTTGCTATGTGAAGATAGTAGGTGTTAGGTATGCAATATCTATAGAATACATGGAAGCAAATAGCGACACATCTGATGTAAGATCTATTGACCATTCATTGCTAATTGATGAATCTCTGTCGATGTTCATGTCTCCAACGTTTTGGTGTGAGATGTCTCGGTATCAAGCTCCTTGCTGTTACAACACTAGTAAAACTTCAACACCACAAGCAAGAGCGAGCGATTGATGAAAAAAAAAAGAAAAATAATTTGTTGAACTAATTCTCTATGAATAAGAATCCTTGGATTTTTTTGATACCTTGATCCTAATTAGCCAAAGAAAGGGGATTGTTTATAGCCCTTGGCAATTCTTTTGTCAATAGGAATAAATGAGCTATTTTATCCATTGGATGTAATCCGACAGTTTGCAATAGCGTAATCAGTTGGATCCAAGCCAAGTCTTTGAAGGACTTGAGCTCTGCCTAGAACCACAACCCAAATTCAGGACCAATCCTGATTGGGTTTGTTCCAATTTCCAAATGCTCAGGCTGGGACTTGGTCACCCATGTACACTTGGGTTTGACTAGATTAGCCTGATGTGGTCTGGGTCCAACACAATTTAACGAAAGAATTTTGAAGTTGTTAGTTTTATTTCTTTCTACATTTATTTCTTAGCTGCCTTCCCAATAACAAGGGCAATATCCTCACTGCCCCCTTGTTCTCCTAAAAAGCAGGTTTAGGCGAAGATCTAATTGGAATTGAACAATTATTTTATTTATTGATTTTATCACTTACTTTTTAGTTTATTTTTTGTTTGCTTGCATGTTATTCTTAAGGTGATGTTTGGCAAAGGGTTAGGTTAGGGTCTGAGGGGTTAAGGGGGAGTTAACCCCTCCTTCCAAACACAAAAAAATTTTATTGAGGGTGTAAATTGGGTTAAGCCATCTTAATTTGCCAAACTAAAAATTTGGCAGGGGGTTAAGTAACTCCTTTAGAGATGTCAAAACTTAATAGTGAGTTAACCCTCAATTTGAGGGGTTTGCTAATCCACCTATTGGGCAGGTTTAGAGATAACTCCTCTATTTATAAAAAAGTAGATATGATAGTCATTATTCCTAAAAATGAAAAATATCACAAGGATTAAAATAAATCATACCTATGGAGTAACTGATTTAATCCCTTGCTTAGTAGGTTAACCCTTCTCTTTAACCTCTCTTACTTAAACCTTTGTCAAAGGGGGACTAAGTGTCTGACTAATAGGGATGCCCCCTCCCCTAAAGGGGAAAAAAATCCAAAAAAGAAGAAAATGAGAGAAAGAAGCAGTACAGATAGAGATAATTGAAATATTTTGATGACAGTGCTGTATGAAAACTATGCATGCAACCTCAAATCCAAATCCAGACATATACTGTAACATAAACAACACACATGGAGACACTAATACCCAAGAAATTGGTTATTTTTCAGAGACCCCATGAACGCAACTTATCTCATGTTATTTTAGTCATGCCAATATATATATCCTTAATATCAAACATGTGCTTGCACCTTACATGAAATTTTTAGTGTTGTTATAGTTTATCTCATTAGGCAGCTTGCTTCACGATCTGTACATCTATTAGATTATGTGAGCATGCTTTCTGAGTTTGCGGTCCTAATTCAGCATAATGTACATATTCAGATTGTCTTAAGTATGTTTTTCCCCCCTGTGAAGCAGAGCTGTTCCAATTCTAGAGATAATTGCGGTGAACCTTTGGTGACTTCCTATCACTCGAAATTCATGGGAACTGTTGATTATATATGGTGATTGAACTTTTTAAAGTTTTTTCACATAATTAATCTTTCTGCATATTAATTGGGCTGACTTCTCTTTTTGATTGTACAGGCATTCTGCAGGTATTGTTCCAGTAGCAGTTGTCGAGACCTTGCCAATTAAAAATTTGAAGAAGTTGGGAGGCCTGCCAAGTGAAGTATAAAATTCTCTTCAGTGTTATACTGCCTTGCATTTGTTACTAAACTACATAACATTATCTCATTTTTTTAATTTGTTTATAGGAAATGCTCGATTGCTGACTTCTTTGATGTTATATTTTTTTCCCCTTTTCTTTATGGTTAAGTATTTTTTTCCTTTTTATGGTTATCATAACTGGTAATTCTGCTGTGTTGTAAATACTGGTAGAAGGGTATGCATTTAATTGGTATGGGAAAAAGGATAATTGTTATTTCAATGTTACTGGCCTTCAATTTATTGACTGCTGACAGTTCATGTTATTGCAACTATTGCGGTAATTCCAATTTGCAAGCAGAGGATAAGTTGGACATGAAAAATATGTCACGGATCACAAAATATATACTAAGAAACATTAGATTTTTTTAATGATGTTTATTATAAAATGGATAAGATGATAGTGAGAACTTGAAGGAGTTATTATAGTGGAAGGTGCAGGATCACTGTTGGAGTAGGTTGAAGCTACATAAAAACCGTGTTTGTTTTAGATTTTTTTTTCATGATTTGTTATGTTTCATATTGCAGAAATGGGGAAGTGATCATCTTGCTTTGGTTTGCGAATTCGCTTTTGTAGATGATGGCAGTGCAAGCTAATGTTCTTCAGCTTTTGCACATATGCAAAATGACCACGACCAGGTAGATTTTTTTCTTTCAATCAAATTCAAATAGGGTAATGGGCTTTGTTTGAAATCAGGAAGTAACTCTTTTTCCTTTGGATAACCTCATAATCAAAGAAGTGGTATGTAAGGTGACAAGTTTGTAAATCTTGCAATCTATAATTCAGCTCATGCAGGAAAATTTAACTAGTCGCATGGTTTCATCAAACACTTGAAGCTAATATTACTGCATTTTATGACCCTTTTTGTTGGTGGGTTAGTGTCATGCACTTTGCATGGGGCAAGATCCAGTAGGCTTAACATTTTTAGTAAAATATTGAACACCAAAATCTCCTTTGTTTTGGCCTAGAATAGAGCAACCTGTATATGATTAAAAACTGATGAGTAAAATCCCATGTTTTGGTCTATCCCTCTCCTTCTGTTCCCTTTTAACCCATTCACAACTACAATGCTTTGCCCTTTTCAGACACAAGTACAACACAGAAGGTAGCTTTGTCATTAATGAATATTTTACTTGACAATATGGTAGCTATGTCAGGATTGATGAAAGTTACTGATCCTTGATGGATGTTCCTCTCCGGCTGACTACGGAAATAGTTCCGAACTTTAGGAATAATTGACCGTCTTAGGTAAGTTTAGTGCTACCACCGAGGTGTATCTGCATTATTCTTTGGAGAATGTCTGGATGATAGATTTCTGTTGGAATATCTGCAAGATTACTTTTTTGCAAAATCCCAAATTTTCTGTTTTTTGCTTGGTTTGATGAAAGGCTGGATGGAAAGCTGAGTGTGCTGCTCACTTTCCAGATTCTCCATGTATCCTTGTAAGAGGAGAGAAATTCTGTCGAAAGATTTGCTGATCAGGTAGCGAAATCCAATATATTTTCCCTCAAGGGCATGTTGGGTGTTTTTGTGAAAATAGGGGATTTTATGACACAATACGGAAATTGAAAGCACTTTCCAAGAGTGTTTCCTTTTTTTGGTTGGTGGACTCATGGAAATTTTCTCATTTTCCTCCAAATTCCTCTCAATTTTGAATTTGGAGGGATTTCTCTTTGAGTAGTTTCGAGCGCCACTCATCATTTTCATGATTTTAAAGGTGCAATCGAGCATGTGAAAGTTAAGAAAGTTAATGTAGGCCCCACAATTTGACAACTTTTTAGGTTTTCCCTGAAACAGCATTCAACCAAACAGACCATAGAATAAACAAGAAATTTCAACAAAAGAAGTTGGTTTTAACGGAAGTGTTACCATGGGACCCGATTTTTACATACTAGGATTCCAGGGAGCAAGTTTGATTCTCGAAAAGACAGTGAGATGAACAATCCTCATACTGACATGACAGCTATTTTTAGTGGGCATAGCGCGTGAACTTATAGCTCTAATCAGTTTTCGGTATATGAGGGGCAAAATCAATCTCAGATAATAATTGTTAAGATACTGTCATAAAATATTATTAGAAATGTATAACATGAGCAGCTTCGGGAACCATTTATACCATTGATGGTATCCTTATCAGTAACTTTGGATAACTTGCATTTTTTGACGACAGTATCTGACTTATATCATGATATACTTTATTTTTCCAGATTTTTCTAGTGAGAGAAAGCTGGTTCGGTTTTGATGTGGATTTGAGGACTGCAACATGCAGGCATGTACATCTGCAACCTCTTTTATTAGGGCAGTTATTTCCGGCCGTACACAGGCTAACCTTTTTGTATACATTTTTCTCCCTGCCGTGCATCTAGTGGGGTTAACCTTATTATTTGACATTAACTAAAAGATTTTGATATCGAGCAATTTCTGATTAGTAATTTTAATGCAGTCTTAAAGGTAAAGTTTGTGTATGAGTTGATAACACGAGGTTTTGGTTGCAGATGATTGTAATTGATCAGTATGTGATACACAATGATGTCGCTTCTGCTTAGAGGCATGAAGCAGGCCACTGAAAGGGTTCACACTAATCCTCAAGCTTAACTAAAGACTAAATCTTGTATGCGTGAATATTGAATCTGACCGTGTCAATTTCAAAGGTTCGCTCGAGATACTTTTCTAGACAATGAATTATTGTTGTTTAGAACCCTATACTCTTGGCTCGTATCTCGCATTCTCTATCGTGTCTTAGTCTGATGAGGTCGTAGAACAGAGACGGAGAAAGATGCCTCTGCCAATAGAGTTCTTCTATTTTTCTTTTGATCTTTTTTCTTGTTTTGAATCGCATCCTTGAAAATTCAGTTTTATCTGCTAATGTTTAGCATATTCTAAGACATCAATGTGTAGTTGAAAGTTGTAGCTCTTATATTATGCTGAATTGAAAGCTGACTTGTTGGGAATCTAGTCACTGTGTATGCGTCAAACTCATAGTAATTTTTTTTTTATGGTTCTTAGGATTTATCGACCCTTTTGTTTTATTCGAATATTTAAGTTTTTACTACGAAAAATGATACAAAGGATAGAGTTCAGATATTTTTTCCGCTTCTAAGATGATTAAAGTGAATAAGTGCTTTTGAACGCTTATAACTTTATGTACGAAGTTAAAAAGAATATTTTTGTTACAGTCGAGTTGGATTCATGAAAATGAGAACAAATCAGTTCAGTTGGATTCATAAAATTTTATGAGCTTCCTCGTAACGAGGGTTCTTGTGCAAAGTCTGCGAACAATATTGAATAAATTGAAAAAACAGAATAAAACTTGAATATCTAAAAATATGAATATGGATCATTGTAATGGAAAAAAGAACACGATATTTGTCAATTGAGCCTTAAAAGATCCGGAAGGAAACTAATTAATGCAGAATCTTCAAAAGTTTTACGTACAAGAATAAAAAAAAGAATATATATATTTTTTTCAAAAAGCGTGTAGCGTCCATTCATCAGGGTTGGGATCTTCTTCTAAGTTATAGTGCCTCCTAATATCTCCTAATACATCTCCACCTTTCATTGCATATTATCTCATCGTATTTTGTGCTTATGCATCACGCGTCCGAGAAATACACTAACCAGGTACGTCCCAGTTTTTACCCAATTGCAGGCGGTTGTATTTGCAAATGTTTGGATCTCATCGGAGTTGGTGCTTTGAAGCTCATTTTACATACAAAAGAGATTGTAATTGCAACCTGCGTATAAGTTTTGGTTAAGTCGTTACAATTGTTCTTAAAAATTACGGTGAAATAAATGACAGTAACTGATCCAAAATCCACCCGTAAACGACTCAAGTGACATCCAATTTCCATCAGTTTCATTCTTTTTTAGACCCGGATTCATCATCCGTCTCATTCACAGCTGTGAGCATCGCATGCATCACGCCACGTTGTGATTATCCCCTTGTCCCTCTTCACTTACGAATTAATTAGTGTCACTGATACAACCAAAGTTTGTTAACGTCAAGCCAAAACCCCCACCAAACCCTCCTCCAACTTTCCCGAGTGAGGACGTCTATATATGCACGCACGCATTCCCTATAAGAGAGAACATCAGAGGCGTATATCCTCAGGACTGGTTACCGAGATGTTGGCCGTATTTAGTGGCGACCGGAGCCCGACCCCGAAGGCGAGCTCGTCGAAGCTTGTTGACGCCTTCGCTCAACGCTTTCCGTCGTTGGTGAGCACCAACGTCGGATCTCTGGCGACGATTTTGTACTCCCATGATGCACAAAACTCCTCGCGACAGAGGTACGTGTTTAACCATACACTTTAGAAAGAGAAAAATCGGTGACCGTGAGGGTTAATTAAGTCCTAGATCCTCAATAAGATACGGATCGATCCTCTCCGCTATAAATAAATAAAAAAAACTAAAAATAGCCCCATGAATTGTACTCTTTCCTGTTTTTCACTCAAGAAGACAAATCATAGCTAACCATTAAACAATCAACGAATGAATTAAAACTAGCGGCTTCTCCACTACGTTCTAATTGGATCGGATCATTTCCGTTAGTAAGAAGTAGTGAAAAGATCACTAATCGTTGATTTATTTTGTAGGTAATTGTCATTTGTTATTGACCGTAAATTATAAAAATAGCGTAATTCACAGGAATATGATGAATATTTGACTTGGAATGAATAATGACCACCCACTACATAAATCAACGGCTACAGTTAACATAGTGGTCCTCTCCACTAATTATTTTGAAAGTAGAGATGATCCAAATCCGTCCAAGCCCATGAAAAAAAACAATCCATTTTTACTTGTTATGTAATTATTTATGCTTTATTTCATCATAAATTTTGCTCCGCGCGCACAATCATGAATATTGCATCTAAGCATACCGATCCCTCTTCATGCTCGCCAAAATATTGTAGGTCATTTGCGGTGAAGGATGACATATTTTGCGTGTTTGAGGGGACTCTAGAGAACCTTGGTAGCATGAAACAATACTATGGGCTCGCAAAAAATGCAAATGAGGTTGTTCTTATGATTGAAGCCTACAAAGCTCTGAGAGATCGAGCTCCTTATCCTACTAACCGCATGCTCGGCCACCTTGATGGAAGTTTTGCGTTCGTCGTCTTCGACAAGGCCACCTCCAGGGTTTTGGTTGCCTCTGTAAGTTTTAAGCATTAATCTACCAGTTCCTTATCTGCTAAATATATCTGGTGTTTTTTGGTTTGTTACAACTTTAATGGCAATTAATACAAATGCTAATTGCAATTAGATGCGACTAGATTTGCAACTTAAAATCATGTTTGCAGTTCAAAAAGGCATCGTTATAATTGGAGGGGTCGACTTTCATGATCGTAACTAGCTGCAACTGTATTTATTAGTTGTAATGAAACAAACATTGCACTTGCAGTAAACCAAAACAATCCATAAGCACTACACATCGATCCTTGGATCAATACAAAACATGAGTATTATTTTAATGTGTATTGATTCAAGAATCTGTATCATGCTTAATTTGTGCACTGATTATCCAGTGTACGTGTACCAATATGATAGCTCACATATTGTTGCCATTAATGGAGTGACTAATTTCTCATTTTGATGAGTTTGCTCATATATGTTAGGATCAAGATGGCAAGGTTCCCTTGTACATGGGGATCACGGCTGATGGATGTCTTGCTTTCTGTGATGATGCTGAGATACTTAGATCTGCGTGTGGAAAATCTCTTGCAACTTTTCCACCCGGTATTTAATTCAGCTTTATTAAATAACTTTTTGCTATTATTATTTGGATGAAAATGTTGAAGTTTCTCTTGTAGAAATTTATATAGGACTAGGAATAGGGAATCTTCTACCAAGTTTTGAACATGATTTTATGTTCTTTTTTTTAATCAAATGGATTTATCTGTTAAGACTAACGTCGAATACAGGCCGGCTACACTTCACTTGCATTTTGTCCAAAAGAAAAAGAAATATAGAGTAGGAATTATGGTTGAGAGTGAGAGAATTTCTTGGCTGTATAAGTTTTTGATTGCTCATAGGTTAGTCTACAATTATGCCCATAAATTCTCACCCAATTTGTTTTATTTTTATTTTATTCTGTTGAAGGGTGCTTCTTCTCAACTTCCAGTGGGCTCACAAGCTACGAACATCCGAAGAACAAGGTCACAGCAATACCAGCAACGGAGGAAGAGATGTGGGGTGCAACCTTCAAGGTAAAAATCTACATGTTAATAACACAAATCGAATTTGAATCCTCTCCATTATAAAAACAAAGGTAAAAGTTCAGTATAGGTCCCAAATATTTTTGCTGAGTTTCATTTGAGTTCTTAAACTTCGATAATCATCAACAAAAATTCCTAATGTTTTCTCCATTGTCATATTAGATCCTTTTTTTATTTCCTTTAATTATTAATGACAAGACGGGACTTTTTTTGTCATTCTCAATTTTATTTGTTGACTGGAACTAAGTGGATTACTTTTCCTCTAAAAGTTTTAAAAATTATAAACAACTACTCAAAAATTTGCAAGAAAAGCCCATTAAAAAGTTACAAACATCTCCCAAAAGTTTTGAAATTTATTAATAGCCCCTTGAATTTTTACAAACAGCCCCCAGGAAAGTTTTTAAAAGTGCAAATAACCCCCTAAAGTTTTTACAAAAAGACCCTTAGAAAACTTACAAATGGCTTTAAAAAGTTCTAACCCACCAACCACCCCCCCAAAAAAAATAAAAATAATAATAAGATAAAATAAAAATAAAAATAATTACAAGCAGCTTTTGGAAGTTTCAAAATTGAAAACTGTCTTTTGAATTATTACAAACATCTCTTAGGATATTTTACAAACAACTATGGAAGTTTCAAAATTTTCAAATAATATCCTGAAAATTTTACATACAATGGCCTAAAAGTTTTGAAAATTACAAATAAAATTTAGGGAGTTATTTATGAAAAAATTAGTAGGCTTTCTGTTAAAAAATTAGGGGCTTGTTTGTGATTCTCTATACTTTGAAACTTTCAGGGGATGTTTGTGACTTTTTTAAGGGTGATCCTGTAAAATTTTAGAGGGTTATTTATAATTTTTCAAACTTTTGGAAGGAAAAGCGGTCCACCCATCATCTAGTTAGTAACATGGGATTGATAAAAAGGTCATGCCACATCATCAATAACTAATAGAAAGTTTCAAAAAAAAAAACAACCAATATGATGATGGAGAAAACATTTAAGATCTTTGTTGATTATTTTTAAAAGTTCAAGGACTCAACGAAATCTAGCTAAAACATTAAAGACTCATACTGAACTTTTGCCTAAAAGAAAAAAATAATGGATTTCACTTTCTCCATCACAACGTCCATTATTCGGCAATATAATTATGATTGGACTGAGTGAAGAATGTGAACAAAGAGAAATCATGAGGATGCACAAGACAAGAGTCACATTTAGAATCAGTCACAAACATGTACCATATAAAATGAATTTTCCACCCGTTGTTGTGCATTTCCATGAACATTTCATTAATAATTAATCATTACGATCTCATCCTTCTTTACAATTTCGTTAAATTTTTTTTTTTCTTTATTCAGATTGAGAGACCTCATGTGAAAGCTACTGATGTTGACTTAGGAAGAGACTGCATCCGCATAATGGGTACCATCTAATCAAAGAAGATATATAGTGTTATTGTACATACATATATATATATATATATATAAAATAAGGGTTTGCATGCAGTATAATAGAGTCTTGGTGTTTGGTGACATGCTAGCTGAGAGAGAGTATTAAGTTTGAAACTAAGTTCTTAATCTCAAGGTTCCTTGTCCTTCACAAGATGTTGATTTGTTTCTACTTTGTTTAAGCTCGACCCATTCTTATTTCTTCCTCATTGTAAGCTTTTATTTGGTGTCTTTCTCTTGGTCTGTCCCCTTGTTTTTATTTGTGACAAATGTGAGACAAAAACTGAAATTTATCGACAATTATACTGTTTAAAAATGCCTAATTCCCATAATAATGAAAGCCTAATTCCCATTATAAATATATAGAATTACCTCTAGAGAAGGTCCAAAAACTGAAATTTATCGACAACGAAGATCAACTGATATTTTTAGAGATGAGAATACACGTGGATAAAGAATAACGAAAGCCCCACCTTTTGTTAAAATAATAATAATTAAACTAAACATACACTCCAACTATACTGTTTAAAATTTCCGATAAATCACTTTATGAAAATGTCTAAACTATTGAACTATAGGCCAATACTTTGTTAGAGAGTTTCTTTTTTCCCCCCCTTTTTTTTCTAGGTAACAGAGTATATTGATTCAAAAATCACCAACTTTATGGTATCCGATGATGCAACCACGGGGATACCATTTTATTTCGTGACATCATCGTCAAGGAACTATAGTCTATAAGAAAGTAGAGGCATTAAAGGGTCCGGCTACATCTTCTAACTAATTAACAAGATGGTAATAAATTAAGACAAGAAACGTTTTATAATACATTTAATTATAGGACTTGTTAGCGCCAATCCGATGTCTCAACTTTAGTTAAATATAAAATTATGCTTACAAATTAATCGCTAAGTAAATGATTATTTTACAAGTAAAAGAAAGGAACATCTTTAGAATGGTGTTTATACAACATCTACTTAGAGCAGACAATAAACTTTTAACAGCATAGAACAGTTTACATGTGTATGTGCGTGAAAAGTATCCAAAATTCAAAATTTATATTTTTCGATTGAAAATTGGCACCATTAGATATGATCTAATTCTTACACATTAAAATCGGTGAATGTTAAAGGCTATTATTTATCAAATTTATTTGGGCCCAAATGATTCAGAAGTATCAATCATAGATATATTTAACTACATATATATTCATTTAACTCTTTTTAAAATGTCGGACTAATTAAATATTTCCTTATGCTCTTTAATTAACTGAATCACACTTAATCAAATGGATGCGATAAGCTGCCTATAAAATCTAGAACGGTTTCGATGTATTCTCTACCACTCTCCAATCTTGATCCATTTGAGAAAGTTCATTAGTGAGGACTAATTAGAGCATTTTATTATTCAAGTAAATTAACATGCACCGAAGCACGCCTCAAAATGATGAAGTATCAAAACAAGAGCTCACAATGAGATTTTTTTTTTTGAAGAAAAACAAGGGATATACCCTGTCATTTGTATTAATCAAAAAAGTAGTTACAAAAAAAGGATATGATGTATATCCAAGGAATTGGAAGATAGAAAAGATAGTTTCTCAGAACTAGTGATATATGACTTTCTTCTTTCAAACATTCATGAAGGTGAAGAGAGGGCCTTGCCGTCATTCACCGTTGACACAGATATAAGAAAGAACCAAAGCCAGCCATATATATAGTAACAAGAAACTAAACTTTCTATAGTCCAATAGCCACAAAATCTCAAGAAAACTACAAAAACTGTTCTTATGTACATATCTCCAAAAAACTGACATTCACAGTCCCATTACATATAAGCTGTTAAGTGATTCTGCTAATCGGGTCTTTCTCCAGTTTAGCTTGAATATTCCGAGCTGCCACTCCATTACCAGAGCCTGTCCAGTCCTTTAAACAAGATATAGAGAAGTTAATAATGGACTTAAAAGAGAACGGAATTTGATCAAAAATGCACTTATTCCTCGAAGTCCATAAACTCCAACAGACAGAAGCAAAAATGGTTCTCCAAAGTGAGCCTTCCATTCCTCTCAGAGTTTCAATCCTATTCATAAGCTCTTCCAAAGTATTAGTCCAATTGAAAGGTAAGAAGTAGTGTAAGAAGTGCTGCCAAACTTTTCTGGATATAGGACAAGAAAAGAACAAATGTTCTCTGGTTTCCAAATCAAGCCCACAAAAAGAACAAAGAGAATCTCCAAGCCAGCCCTTAAGCTGAAGAATCTCTTTAGTATGCACTTTATTTAGAGAGAGAAGCCAGAGAAAAATGCGAACTTTGGAGGGGATAATGGCATTCCAAATGACTTTGTATAAAGGACTCTTAATGCCTCTCCTAACAAGGAAATTGTAAAAAGATTTGACCGAGAACTGTCTGTTAGAGGTGAGAATCCATGTAGGTTGATCACAGCTATTAGAAGCATGAAAGTCTTTGATGAGATTCAGAAGGTCAGTTTTCTCTGCTTGAGCACGAGGAAGAATACTTCTTCTCATCAATAAATGCCACTGCCACTCATTATCAATGTAGAGACCTTGGCTTCTAATAGATGCATTAGAGGACAAGGCTAACTTGTAAGGTTCAGGGAAAAGACTAGCTAAGTTGCTGTATCCAGTCCATTTATCTTCCCAGAATCTTATACTATCTCCAGAGCCAATCAACCATTTTATGTTATGAAAGAAAGCATCCTTTTTAGATAAAACATCATTCCAAAATGATGAGTTAGATGACTTGAAAACTGTGGCCTGCAGATTAGTGCCATTGTGAACATAAAGATGGTGAAGAAAATTGCCAGATGTTGAATTTTTATCCAAACACTTCCATAGCCATTTGGATAGAAGAGAACAATTGAACAAGGAAATATCCTTAACTCCTAGACCTCCCTCATCTTTAGATAAACAAACTTTCTTCCAGTTAACGAGGCATTTGAAGGAATTAGAATCTGTCTTTCCTGTCCATAAGAAGTGTTTCCTGATTTTATCAATGTCTTTAATAAGCCATTTAGGTAGCTTATAAAAAGACATATAGTATAAAGGAACTGAAGTAAGTACTGAATTTAACAGGACCAGTCTCCCTCCGTAAGATAATACATTCTTCTTCCAAGATGCTAATTTCCTATAGAGATTGTCAATCAGAGGCTGCCAGTCTGATTTTGATAACTTGCCATATTTAAGAGGTAACCCAAGATACTTGATAGGAAGTTGAGCAACTTTACAGTCCAGTGCAGATGCTAGAGCATGGGCCTTGCGATGGATATTGCCAAAATATATAAGGGATGATTTAGAATAGTTAATGCTCAGACCAGAAACGTCCTCAAAAATGTAGAGAATTGTTTTAAGAATAGAGATGTCATGTAGGGAACTTTTCACAAAAAGCAGTGTATCATCCGCAAATTGAAGTATCCTCAGAAGATTTAAAGGATGCTTAAGACCAAGAGATGATAACAGGCCCCCCTCAGCATTGTTCATAATCATTTTGTTCAAAACATCTACAGCAATATTGAATAACATTGGGGATAGAGGATCACCTTGCTTAATGCCTCGTTTACAAGGGAAAAACTTGGTGGGAGAACCATTAACAAGAATAGCACAAGAAGAGGATGAAATAATTTGAAGAATCTATGAACACCATCTAGTTCCAAAGCCCCTAGCTCTCAACAAGTCAATGAGAAAAGCCCAGTCTATAGAATCAAAAGCTTTAGCAAAATCAATCTTAAACATAGCAACTTCCTTCTTTTTTTTTTTGAACAAGCATGAATCATTTCATAGCTTGAAGAATAGAATCAAGAGTAGATTTTCCAGCTTGAAAAGCAGATTGTGAAGATGCAACCAAGGATGACATGTGATGTGACAGCCTATTTGCCAAAATTTTAGAGAAAATTTTAAAAATGCAATTGATAAGGCTAATTGGTCTGAAATCTGTCACCTTAGAACAGTCCTTGATTTTGGGGACCAAAGTGATAAAAACTTTATTAACTCTGTAGATATGGGATGGGTTGTCATGAAAGAACTGCATAAGAGCAATAAGATCTGTCTTAATCAAATCCCAAAAAGTTTGATAAAATACCATGGAGAAACCATCAGGTCCTGGAGCTTTATTTGCATTCATACCAAACACAGCACTTTTAATTTCTGCTTCAGAAAATTGATCTTCAAGAGACAACAGATTATTCTCTTGTTCAGGATATAGAGTAGACCAATCAAGTTGCATGTGTTTATTTTTGGTATGCCCAAACAAGTCATGATAATATGTGAAAAAAGCTTTAGAGACATCCTCATCACCAATGAAATCTACGTCTTGATAGGTAACTGAGGATATGAAATTAGCTTTTTTATGGAAGGAGGCTGTTTTATGAAAGAAAGAGTCTTGATAGGTAACTGAGGATATGAAATTAGCTTTTTTATGGAAGGAGGCTGTTTTATGAAAGAAAGATGTATTTGCATCACCCTCTTTTAGCCATTGTACACGAGATCTTTGATGCCAATAAGTTTCCTCTTCCTTAATGATAGATATATAAGAATCATGAAGAGATTGCTTCTCATTAAACTCCGAATCTGAAAGAGGCCTTTGCTCTTCAATCAAATCAAAGGCATTGATTTTTGTTAAGACATTTGACTTTCTAGAAGAAATACATCCAAGGACATTCTTTTTCCACCATTTAAGCCTTTTCTTGAGGAGCTTTAATTTAAAAATGAAGATATCAACAGGATTACCATGAACTTGGAAAGAAAGCCAACATTTAGAAACAAAAGGGATGAAGTCTGTGTTATGGAACCAACTTCTCTCAAAACGAAAAATAGGATTGAAACTCTTCATCCCACCACTATCAAGAATAATAGGGAAATGATCAGATCCAGTTGCAGGTGGAGAGGATTGAATGCACAAAGGAAACTTATTATCCCAATCAGAATTAATAAGAAATCTATCAAGTCTTGCCAAGGAGGGTTTATGCCTTTTATTTGACC